AGCTCTGCAGCAGTTCCTGCATCCATGACCCAATCACCTGGAGGTCTTCCTGCTCTCCTTCTCCATCCTGGGGCTCGGGAGTGGCTGGGCACAGCCCCTGCCCTTTAAGTGCTGCTGCCCGCTTCTCCTGCTGCCCACGCTGGAACTTCTCGATCAGGGCACGGTCGTGGCGCCGCTTCGATCGCATCACGGTGCTGGCCGGTGTCCGGGATGTGGCGTTGATCTCAAAGATGGTCTGTCCCCAGGGCAGGAACATGATTCCCAGTGAGCCACGTGGGTCTCCCCTCCCCTCCCCTGCCCTCTGTCTCAACTCACCGCCTTGGACTTGTAGGTTTTAATGCTATCCACCAACTTCAGCCTCTGCAGCTCGGTGTCTTCGAAGCGAGCTCCTGGGAAGGCAGGCAGGAGAGGGGCACAGATGAGTTTCCTGGGGAGGGCAACGGGGCCTCCTCCCTCGGCACCCCCTCAGCACTCACTGAAGAGGGGGTGCATGCCCAGCTGGGACACATCCAGGTCCTTGGCTCTCTTGATGGACTCTGGCGAGGGGCCGGGCCGGGAGCGCAGGTACTGCTTGTGGGCGTTGTCGGCGACGCGGCGGAGGCTGCGCAGCTCCAGAGAGCCCTGGTGGTCCGTCAGCAGCAGGCATTCCTCATCATCCACCAGGCTCTGCGGGACACGGCCCAGGACCCCGCCAGCGTCTGCAGCCCAGGGCACACCGTGTCACCTCCCAGCACTCACCCTGGATGTCTCAGAGCAGAGCTGACAGCTCCAGGGAGCTCAGCACTGTTCAATCAGCATCCCCCACACACAGGGTCTATCGCAGCCCCCAACACACCATTCTCCCCATCTGTGTGAGGGCCCACCACAAACTCCAGCACTGGCCAAGGATAACACCCCAGTGGCCACACAGCCACCCCTCACCTGCAGGCATCTCCTGGGCTCCAGCAAGGACGAGCGGGCGGCCCAGGAAGAGGTGGAGGTCGAACACATAGGGCATCTCATCGGGAGCCACCAGTGAGTAGGCAGTGCCACTCCGGCCAGCTCGGGCCACGCGACCTGGCACAGGCAAGAGGAGAATGGGAAACCATACCCAGCCAGTCCAGCCTGGCCCCACCCAGGCAAGGTGTCCCTGGCAGTCTGCACATGTGACATTTACCGTGAGGGCATGGCTGGCAAGGGGCTGTGGGTGGCTGGGGAAGGGGCAAGGGGAAATTCTACAGGAAGATACCAGTCCTGCCCCCAAGAGCTTTCACAGTCCAGCTGGGACATCACTGACACTGCTTGTCCCCAGTCTGTCCCTCAATATCTCAGCACAGCTGGGCACTGGCACCCACCGACACGATGCAGGAACAGCTTGCCCTTGGCAGGGAAGCTGAAGTTGATGACATTGTCCAGCATGGGGATGTCCAGCCCCCGGGCAGCCACGTCGGTGACCAGCAGCACTGGGCACTTGCCCTGGGAGAACTTGGCAATGTTGATCTTGCGGGCGGTCTGGTCCAGAGAGCTGTAGATGTGGGTGCAGCGGATGCCCTGTGCTGTCAGCAGCTGGGAAGGAGGGAACAGAGATTGGATGGATGTGCCCTCAGCAGAGAGACAGGGCCAGAGACTCCAGAGTGGCCACCTGGACCTCCAAATCCCACTGTGCTCCCTTCTCTTTCTGAGGGGTGAATGGATGCAGCACCTCCATGATCACATATTCTAGGGTTTCTCCTTCAACCCAGTGAAACAGATGGAGATATTCCAGCAGGGACCTGCCCCAGCTGCAGACCCCACATGGGCACCCCCAAATGCCACGTACCTCCCTCAGATACTCTGTGTGGTGCTTGGTGGCCACAAAGACGACTGTCTGGTCCTGGGGCTTCACCACGCTGCGGAGCAGGTGGAGCAGCACGGCCGGTTTGTCGTCCCCGCGCACGTGGAAGAACACCAGCTGCAGCAGGAGGACAGTGCTCAGCCCTGTGCCACCACCGCCACCCTTGTCCCTTCCTCAGGGCCACGTGGCTTGCAGGGTGTAGGGGGCACAAAGCCCATCTAGAACTCCCCCCACCCGTCTCACCTTGAGCTGCTCACTCAGCTTGGACTCGACATCCAGGCGGATCAGCATCGGCTCAGTGAGGCCTGTGGTGACACACAGGACATGGGTCACTCACGGGGTGTCCTGCTGGGGACACCCACTTGGCACAGCATTAATCCAGCTTGGTTCTCCTAGTGCTGGGCTCGGCCTGGCTGCAGGCCTGTGCCATGTCCCTGTCCCCAGCGCCACCTGCCCCCAGCTCCTCACCAGCCCGGGCAAACTCGACGAGCAGCTTGGGCAGCGTGGCGGAGAACAGCACGGTCTGGTGGCAGTCTGGGAGCCGGGCGATGATCTCCTGGAGCTGCTCAGCAAAGCCCATCTCAAAGAGCCTGCAGGGGAGGGGATGTGGGACATGGCAGGTCCCTCCCTGCCACTCCCTGGGCCTCTCGCCCGTGTGGGGACACTGCCAGCCCTGGGGACACCCCTGTGCCCTGCTGACCTGTCGGCCTCGTCAAACACCACGTACTCCACGGTGTGCAGCTTCAGCTTCATCTCCACTGCCACGTGCACCAGGCGCCCAGGGGTGGCTATGATTCTGCGGGGACAGAGGTGGTGACAGGACCAGGCCAAGGGGGAGGCAGTGTCCCCACACCATCCTGGCAACATGTCCCAAATCCAACCCAAAGGCAGCACAACAGGGACCCTGCTGTCCCACAGGACGTTGCTCCAAGGGAACACCAGGAATGCCCATCAGGCACACCAGCTCTGAACACCAGTGTCATCTCCGGATGGCTGGTGGCCATTTCCCCACTGGGTCCCCTCCTTGTGCCCCACTCACATGTCAGGGTTCTCATGCAGGGCAGCAAACTGGTCCTCCATCCTGTGAGAGAGGGGAGAGGCTGGGGTGGCACCGTACAGCTCAGCCCCTCACCAGGTTTTGGGAAGCTCAGGGAAGCAGGGATTGGAGGGGACATGGGGACAGCTTACTTGTCTCCTCCCAGGATCAGGGCTGTCTTCAAGCCAGTGAACTTGCCCAGCTGCAGGGTGAGGAATAAACTCCTTGGTGGGATGCAGCACCAAACCCATTGCCCCCGTTGTTCCCACTCGCCCCCAGGTCCCCTGTACCTCCTTGGTGAACTTGAGGGTCTGCAGGGCCAGCTCCCGGGTGGGTGAGAGGATGAGGGCGCGTGCCCCGGCCTGGCTGGGCGCCTTCAGCCGCTCAAACATGGGGATGAGGAAACAGGCCGTCTTCCCGCTGCCCGTCCGAGCCATGGCCACCACATCCCGGCCACGCAGGATGGCGGGGATGGTCTGGGGGACACCACTGTCACCATCACTGTCACTGTCCCACTGCCACCCCCTGAGACAGGCACCCACTGCTCCCCAAGATCACCTTCCTCTGGATGGGTGTGGGCACCTTGTAGCCCTTCTTCATGATGCCCTTGAAGACAGGGTAGCTGAGACCTAGGGGAACAGGGACAAGTGAGGCGGCATGAGCAGGAGGGGACAGTCCCTGTCCCAGGGACAGTTGTCCCCTGCCTCACACGTACCCATGGACTGGAAGCCCCCGGATTTCTTCTTCTTCTGGTTCTGGGCCCGCACCATGGCCTGAGTGTCCAGTTCAGCATCAGCGCCATCGTCCTCCTCGGCAGTGGTGGGGAAGGCGGGCAGTGGGGTCGCAGGCACCTGGGGACAGTGGGGGACACGGCTGCGGTGATGGGCCAGGGTCACTGCAGCTCTGCACGGCTGGCATGGCAGGCAGGGGCACCAGTGACGGTGACCGTGGATACTGGGGACACTGGCACTGGGACAC